TCTTATACACATCTAGCCTAAACAGTGCTATTGTTTACTAGTAGTTATGTATTTTTTTGTTAACGTGGCGATTCATTAATTTTCCGCAATAAATAGCTGAAGCAAGACTTTAAAAATAATTATTATTGTTGTTGCTATTATTTTGGAGTGGAATTTCTCCCCAGGTATGATTGAGCTTTAATGAATGGTGACTTAGTGACATTCATCGTAGTCGTATTATAAGCTATTTCACAAAAAATCAGTGGTAGTTACAAAATTCCTATAGCTGCCTCTTTGGAGGAGATGAATACTCTGCTGAAATAGTTTTTTTTCCTCGTTCATGAATTTTTTTTTGAGTTATGGTACTTGTTAAAGTGTCACAGTTACAATAGTTTATTTATTACCTGTATGATATTAATTTCTGTGGTTTAAGCTTCAAAAAGCCTTTAGCTCCTCCTTTCCTTAGCATTTTTTTTGGATGTTGTTAAATTGTGAGGAGGGAGAAATACTTGGATTTTGGCAGTTCTAAATTGCATCGTAATCACAGAGGTGGGAATTTCATGTTTTCAAACAACACTTATGTCATTTTAAAAATGGCTAATACAGGTTTTAATTTGTCTCAGAATACATGAGGTAAGGACAGATATCTGTGTTGCCTTAGATTTTGCAAGTACAAGGAATACTTTGGGGTTTTTGGTTCTTGTTGGTTTTGGTTTTTTTTTCCCTGCTCAAAAAACTCTGTGGGTAAGCTGTGTATGTCATGAGGAAATTGTGAGTTCAGAAAAGTTTTTGTGATCTTGGTGTCTTTCTAGACTTCTCTTATTAACCAAATATCGTTATTCAATTAGGTGTTAAATTACATATTTTCTTTTGATTCTGAAATCTCAGAGGAGTTGTACAGCTTTGGAAATACAAAGTAAATGGCTTGAGCCGTCCGTGTTGGTCCAGGTAGAATAGATAAGGGGATTGTTTTGGTTTATTTCTTAAGGTGAGCAAGATTTTTTTAATGGGATTTTTTTTTTTTGCTTCATTCTCTTTAATAAGTTCAGATTACTGTCTTCATCTTCTAATGAGCAGATTTTTCAATTTTAGACTGAAGAGCTTGACTATAACCATAGGAATCTGTTTCTAAGCTGTTCGATTCTGTTGTTTCAGAAATGAGGCTTTGTCTCTTCTTCCCAGTCCTCCTTTGACAGTTTAGAAAGTGGAGAGCTGTCCTGTGTCTGAGGCCAGTGGGAAATTTATGGGCTTAGTTAGGGTTGAGCTTTCAGTCTTGTGGGAACTGCTGCTCTTTGCTCTGCTCCTGCTTTTATTTGTGAAGTTTATAGGACATAATGAAATGCAGCCTCTCTGAAAGGAATGGTTTCATAGATTACTATAGTCAACTGATGAGATCATTAAAAAAAAATTTACCACTGTGAAAGCACGTGTTTCAGTTTGACTTCCTGCATCACCTAAAGATTAAATTTGCAATGCTGGTGTTGTTTTAAAAGACAGGAAATGCAGATCAGGTTCAGATAGTAACATTAATTCATCTGCCTGACTGCTGTTTTGCTTTTCAGATGAAATGCATAGGCTAATGTCATTTCTGATAAAATTAGGCAGATATCAATGTGTCACCTTTTCAGTGTAAGCATGTTGTACTCATACCAAAGTTTAGGATTTTATGTCACATCTCATCAGTTCTAGATATATGGAAAGTTATCAAAACAAGCTCATCTCTTTATCATTTGTAAATTGCATCTAGGATATCAAAAACTATTTGGAAGATGCAGTGAAATACAAGATAGGAGTAGGTTGTTTTGAAGGTGAAGAAGCAGAGTGTGTGATAGCTGGGCATTTATTTGCAGTTCTAATGAAACATGTTGATCAGGTATTGTAAAGCCTTTTGTAGATCTTACATTTTTACTTTAAAAGTTTGACATACGATTAAAGCTTTTAATCTTAAAAAAATTGAAATCCCACTCGCTGTATGTTTCAGTATTGCAGCATGTCCTTAGATGATCAATTCTAGTTTCGGCATAAAGGCTTATTGGTTTGTATGCAGGAGGAAATTATTGGTGTCATATGTTTTAGTCTTTCTGCTTACTGTCATATTCATAGACAAAGTATATTTTTTGAGCAGTAACTTTATTGATTCAGGCATTTTTTCTTTAATATGCCACCTATACAAAACAAATTCATGCAGAAACAGCCATTGTGTAAGAATTTTGAGGCTGTTCTGTAGCACAAGAAAGCGCAGCATTGACTATCTGTGCTTCATGCTTTGTATAAGGCTTTGAGATTGTGGTGGTTCCCTCAAGGTAAATTCAGTGTTTTCAGGAAGCAGGGGGGGTTGAAGAGCTGTTACAGACAAATGACTGAGCAGTTATCTGATAGGAATGCAGGGTCTCAAAATGCAGGTTCTGTATTTAAAATATTATTTGATGGTATTAGCTTTTTATGATATGTTACACTCATATTTTTTTTAATACCAAAGACCTAAATTGGTTTGCATCTAGATAGTAGAATTTCAGAACTTAATCCTCCAGGGGATGAGATGGGGGGAGGGAACTTAAGTGTTGCTTGTTTTGGAATAATATTAGTAAAGGAAGGTTACCTTTAAGAGTGGGGTTTGGGAGAAAGGCTTACGTTTGGTTGGTTTTGGGTGGGTGGGCATTGCTCATAAAGTGTCTGATGAATGTGAACTTTAATCGTTCCAAATAACTTATCTGTATGAAGGAATTTTCTAGTTTTTGGTGTGTAAGCCCCAACCTGCTGGATTTTATTCTCAGCCTTTTTACTAGGAATTGTCTGCCTAAAGGAATTTGCTTATGTAATTGTTTATTACAGTTCTACTGATACTTCTCCGTTAGTGAATAATTTCTTGCAGAAGAGGAACAGGTAAATGTAGAAGTATTAATGATCTGGAGCTGTCAGTAGTTTATATAGGAAAGCTTTGAACTGATTACAAACTTTGAAAGAGCCATTCTTCTTCTTAGTCAGCTTTGAGGTGAAGGATACTACTTCCCACACCAAGACATTTCAAGCATTAGTGAATTAGAAGTGGAAAGTTCCAAGTGTCTATCTGTATTTGTTCTAGTGTCTTAATGAAATGTGAGACCCAAAGGGCTTTGAGGCACAAGCGATAGCTAGTCCTGCTGCAGTAGTTTGACAGTAACATTCCTCTCTGTTACACCTTCTTGGCAGAGGAGTCATCAGAATAATTTGGCAAAAAGGAGTAAGTGCTTCTTGCCTGCGTAGGTAAATACCCATACAAAACTGCCTGTTGCTCTCTCTGCAAATACAGAATGTTTTTCTCTATTACTTCTGACTTGTACTAAGTGCAGCAGTCTGATAAGCCATGGATGAGTAATGCTATTTGAAGCATATCACCTCTGTTTCAGTCCTTTAATGGCTCTGTGATGCTTCAGCCATTTCTTGGCCCTTTCTATTTTTACTCCTCATTGATTACTTAAGGCAGAGTGTAAGTGCAGCTGATTGGCATCTACAGCCTGTCAAGGCAGATGTTCCACATGGTGAAGCTAACCCAGGATGATACCTTTCAAGATTCTGCAAGATTCTCTCAAGTGATGTTTTTCTGTTGAAGCAAAATCAGTTGAAGAGCATAATGAAATAGGTATGAGAGGAGGAGAAAATTGCTGCAGACACACTAGTCTGAACCACTCTAATATGAGTATTTCTCTGCAGGCTGCTTCTTAGGAGATAATGTCAAGTAATTCATTAGGTACCGTCACATCCAGAGCTAGTTAGGAGAAAATTGCTGCAACTTTTCAGTATGTGTGGGTTTTGTTGTTGGTTTTTTTAGTATATAAATAATTAATACACTGTGTGACACATGTTTAAGCTGTGCATTTTAGTACTGGTTACTACAATTTTTGGCTGTAACCATCAGCTCATAAGAGGAGGTTTCTCCTAGCAGTGCTGCTTCATAAGATATTTTTAATTATTTCTGATGTTGGTTGGTGGTTTGTTGTGGGTTTTTTTTATCATACTTTTGCCTGTAATAACTTTTCCTTTGCTCTTTTTGTTGCTACTTGTTTCAAAACTGTTACAGGCCTGTTTGCATAATTTTTGAGTTGATAGAAAACATTCTACAACTCTTTTTATCACATAATGTGGCCAGACCATTGTGCTCTCTGTGTCTTAGGAAATTGTCTAATCTATTCCTGAAATTTTTGTGGGGGAAGTGCCTTTTCGCTGACCCTAATACTGGGATGTGAGGATGAGAACATGGAAGAGAAGGAGAATACAGAGAGAAATTATATTTCTATTGACTAGTACAGAAGTTCATTCCAGAAACTGCTCCCTTGAAACAATTCCGTATTAAAAGAAGGAATACTGCAGCTTTCAGAGAAGAGAGCAAATTCTGAAACAAGGTTTTGTCCAGTAGCTTTCTCCTTGCTTCTTGAGAAGAAAAAAATTTGTGATTTTGTGTGGTGTTTTCTTGATAAATTGCTTCACATAGGTGCCACAGTGTCCCAGCCTGGATCACAGGAAAAGTATTCAAGTTGTATAATAAAAGACATTTGTTTGTTTGCTTTTCGTGTCCATGGCTTGTTAGTAGAAAGCCTGATTGTTTTTCTATATAATCTGTAAAGCAGTCAGTACAGTTTTAACTTCATAGTCTGATTTGCGGTCTGTCAGCGTGGAAAAATAGATCAGGCTGATCTAATTTGATCAACTGGTGTCACAGCCATTTCAGTGAGATGTCGATACGGGGTAGGTCTTGGGTCTTTTCTACCCCTGTTTGTTAAAATACTTTAAAATGTATCTTGGGAAATGGTATGTTGCAAATCTTTGCCCACAGTATATGTGAGAGTATTAAGCAGGTTGTAATACACAGTAGCCATTATTAGATTTGCCACATGTTAGAAACTGATGGGAACTGATAAAAGAGATGTTAGAAGAATGTCCAGGCTAGTTTTGGATTGACACTTAGTTAATGGCATTCATATCTAGGGGAAGGGTCTATCGAAGAATTAATTTTTTAAGATTGCTTATGAAGTTAGGAAAGTATTCCTGATTTTATCTTTTTGTCTGTTCCGATGGATAGACAGGAGATATTTCCATGTTAAGAACTTAAAGAACTGACCAACTTGACTAGCTAAGCCCATGCTCAAAGGTGAGGGTGAATAATGTTTTTAACAAAAGCAGTTTTTTTTCCCCACTGTATCTTAAGTATTTGCTGTCTGGACTAACAGGTTGGTTATTTTCTAACTTCTGGTGGTATTTTTTTCTGTTACCAAAAAGAACCTGACTTGCTAATGTAAAAATAGGCTATGCAGAAACAAAACAAACTCTTTTTTCAGTTGGCAGGAAACCAGGTTAAAATGAATGTCTTCTCTGTCTGCCTTAAGAGGTATGCAGTGTCTCTTTGCATATCATTCTTAAAGTAAGGATTTTTAAAAGCATTGGAATGGGGAAGCTTTTGGATAGTTATCATATGTTGTCTTAAGGCAGAATCCTTGAGGCAGGACCTTATGTTTGAATGCTGATGGCTCCTGTTCTCCAAGCCAGCAGCACTGCAGAAATGAAGGCTCAACACAGAGTTTACAGACAAGCCAAGAGGAACTTGCTTTCATGCTTCTGTGGCGGACATTCTCACCCCTTGTAGGTTTTCACCCTTAAGGAATTTCAGAGTAACTTTTTGATTAGTCCGATCTGATTTAATTCCTTTGGAAATAGCAAATATTATATTGTGTTTACAGATAGATGGCTTTCCCATTATCTTAAACATTTAGTAGTAAAATTAAGAAATGCTATTTTTGCAATGGAACGTAAGATTTTTGGTGGTTTCTTGCTGAGATGCACCTTGTAGCACTTACTGCAACCAGGTAACACAATGATAGAAGTTGTACATGTAAAATTTTCAGAAATTTTGCAGTGTACAAAGGGGAGTTTTACACTGTATTTTATAAAATAAAACCGATTACCTAAATTTGCTAATTCATGAGGAAAAAATTATGCCTGTTTCTTTCTTCTCTGTCAGGTTTGTAAATACTACCTTTGTGGCTTTTGCCCAGCTGAATTATTTACAAATACCCGTTCTGATTTAGGTAAGTCTTGTAATTTTTATTCCCTTATACGTAATTACAATTGAACTTTTGTTTGCAGACTTCATTTTTATTGTTTAATGCTTTCTTAAAACACTTGGAAAATAATCTTTTTTGTTTTTAAAGGATTGCCAGTGATATAGTATGTTAAGAGCAATATTTATTCCAGATCCTACTTCTCTTTTTTCTCTTATTGTGTAAGCTAAATTATTTTGTGGGGGGTGTTTTTCTCCTCCTGAAGTGTTTACTTCTAGTTTGGTTTATTCTACCTGGGCAGGGTTTTAACTTATTTTTGTGTGAGTATAGATTATTGAGCTGCTTTACTTTAGAGACTCATTTACTGTAATAGTTATTACTGAAGGCCATCTCTAAATTACTAGTAGCTTTCAAGCGAGTGTATGTGGACAACATGTAGTTTGGAGATGGTAACTCAGAAAACCAGGCTTATTGTCTTAACTTTCATTTCCAAGTCCAGTGAAGAGTTTGATAGACTGGGGAAGGTGGAAAATTTTAACATGAATACCTTTGTGAACTGAGGCAACATACCTCCTAATTTTACTCTGAAGATGAGCATTTTAAGTAGCTAGTTTATTACAGAAAAAGCTGTCTGGAGTTTAGAAAGTGCTTGGTGAAATTACTGTTCATATGTCACATATGTTAATTGTTTTTTTCCTTTTTTTTTTAAGACCCTAGGTGTTTAAGGTATTATTTTGTTTGTGTAGTTTTACCAATGTAGAACTTGATCTGGAAATTCTGTTTTATATGAAGACTTTATATGCCAGTCAGAATATCCTTGATTTTATAATTACTAAACTATATTGGCATTCTTTTTCTTTAATGTGTCTTTCAAATTCCAAGCAAAGGAAGCAGAAAGGCAGGCATAAAAGTCTCTGAGAAGTGTTTATAGCTCTGTTCTATCATGGTGTATAAACAATTACTGGCAGAAGGTAAATACGGCATTCAAGAATGCAAGGCTAAACTTTTGTTTGGTCTTTTTAGGTCCTTGTGAAAAAATTCATGATGAAAATCTACGTAAACAGTAAGTATGTTGGTATGTTAATGCATACAGTGTTTCTAGTGTGCTTGAAATTTTTTTAAAAGCAACCCAACCATGAGAAACTAAATGCCTTTTGTTTTATGTAAACATTTATTGAAATGTGTAATATTCTCTTGAGCAAGAATTTATAACATTGCATGTTTTTAATTTATTTTTCATATATTATGGATTGACAAGAGCTTTCATTTTTAAAATATTTTACCAGGTATGATTTTTCATATATTATGGATTGACAAGAGCTTTCATTTTTAAAATATTTTACCAGGTATGAGAAGAGCTCTCGTTTTATGAAAGTGGGCTATGAAAGAGACTTCTTACGCTATTTACAAAGCTTACTTGCAGAGGTAGAACGCAGAATTCGAAGAGGCCATGCTCGTTTGGCACTGTCACAGAATCAACAGTCTTCTGGGGTGAGTGTGGAGGAATCATTGAGGCAGTTTTCCTCTAGATTGCGTCTTTGTGTTCTCTTTACTTTGTTCAGGTAAAATACATTGTTTTCCAGAAGATTCCCATTAGATAAGTCTCTTCATCTGTTAGCCAGCCGATCGCATCTAGTCCTAATGGACAAGCCAAGTGGCTCCACAGTCAGCAGGAGCCCCTCTCTATTCTCCCCATCTCTGTTTCCTCAGAATCAGTATGTGTTCTCCATCCTGGAACATTAATCCTGTCAAGCGTTGTCTTTACCCTGTTAACCTCAGTTTACCTTTTCTCCTTCAGTTGCATATTCCTCCTTCCCTTCACTACTAAACTGTATCACAGTGATACTACTGAAGTAGGCAAGTACTTTGTCTTTCAGCAGCTGGTGGAGCTAAATACCCATGTCTGCTTCCAGACTTAGGCAGCTGGAAGTTTGGGAAAGAAGTACTTCTGTGCAACTTTTTTCAGTTCCAAGCTGCATACTAGACAGGAAAGCTTAAACTGACTGGGAGAAGAATCTTAAGGGGTTGCTCCACTTGATTTTTCTTGTTCCTGATGGATTTGGAGCAGTGGCTGTTGCCTGTGCTCTGAGAGTTTCATGACTGCTAGGGTAGTCTGGCTCCTTTCTGCTGCCCCACTTAATTGTTCTGTGCAAAGTTCAGTTGCTTCAGAAGGAGCTGTGGACAGTATCTAGTCAAAGGAGCTTATTGGCTGTGGAGTAGAGCAAAGGTGGTGGGAGAAGCAGATTTAAGTCTCTTCCAGCAGCCTGCAGAGGGGATACTACTAAGTACATTTTTTGATGAAGTGAGATTCTTTTTGCATTTAATGCTCAGAAGTTAAATTTCAGAATGCACAGAAATTCTAAGTCATACTTGAGTGTCTGCAAAGATATGTAATAGCTGCATGGCAGTTCCAGAGTTTAAATTTAGGACTTTGAATTCAGATGTCTTACCATTTATGGGCCAGGGCCTTGAACGTTTTTGTTGATTTAGGAGGCATTAGTGTGACTAGAACTTGCTTCTCTCAGCAAAAGTAGAGTAAGATGTGTTGAAGAGTGCTTTAAGTTAGACTAGACTATTATTAGTAGGTCCTCATAAGAGAAGAGGCAGGAGGAGGTTGGTTATTCCTGAAGTGTCTCTGGAATATGAGAAGGCAATGTGTTTTAAAGCTATGTTAACGTTAAAAAACAAAACCTAAAAAGACACATTTGTATCGTTTGGCAGGGAGCGGGACCTACCGGTAAAAATGAAGAGAAGATTCAGGTGTTAACTGACAAAATTGATGTACTTCTACAACAGGTGAGTTGTTTTACCCCCTGTAACGAGATCTCTTGCTTTTGTTACTTGATTAAAAATTGATTAAAAAGTTTTGGATTTTTTTCACTGTCCTTTAGATTGAAGAACTGGGTTCAGAAGGAAAGGTGGAAGAGGCACAAGGAATGATGAAACTTGTTGAGCAGTTAAAGGAAGAGAGAGAATTGCTGAGGTCTACAACTTCAGTAAGTAATGTGTTTGTAGTTCTGTCAGATTTATTTCAAAATTTGTTGAAGCAATACATTATTAACCTTGTCATTACACTGAAGGCACTCAAGCTCTGAATTTACGAAGACAGTAACAGGACATTTAAATGTGTTAATCTGGTATGTTGATTTAGCATGCCACCTTGAGAATGGGTTTCCTGCACACAAATTAAGAAATGATTTACGCAGCAGTCCTGGAGGCAAGTTTGCATCTTGGTCTAGTTCGGGTCTCGGTTAAACTTGGCCACGTAGCCTCTGCAGTACTATTTTACCAATCTGTTACAGAAAACCTTTGTTCTAGGGCTGTGTTTAGAGACAGGCATCTGTCTGACTTTGGGAGCTACAGAAGCCAAAGGTAATGTGTTAAGTAGCAAATTCCAGTCAATAAAAAAAAGAATTTATGTTTAAACATTATATTTCAGTGATTAATAATATGCTCAAACTGTGATTCCTGTTTTATTTTTAAAAAGTTCTTCTAAGTGTTACAAGCAATAGTGTTCTATACTGTATGATTCATGAACATTGCACAACAATAATCATTTGGGTTTATGTTGAAATTTCAGTGTATTTCTCACATGCCTGTTGAAACAGTGAGTTAATTTGACCATCATCCTTTTAAATAGAAGCCCAGCACTCCTTTTTGTATTTCTTCATGGGATATTCAAACCTTTTCATTCCTTGGAACATATTCCATGGTTGTTCCACAGCTCAACATTTCAGTTGATGCCAAAGAAGTCATCTTAAGAGAAAACCAATTTTATTTTCCTTAACCTTAAGATTGTAGGGAAGCTGCAGATATGGCTATGTACCTATTAATCCTTTGTAGTGAGGAAAAAGATTTGTTTTCTGTGTTTTCTAATTGATTTTTTCCCTGTGGCCTATGTGGAATGGGTGTATGTAGCCTATTTTTGCCCTGTTCATCCTAGTAGGTGCAGTGCTGTGAAGACAAAGCATGCAGGTACCATTTTCAGCTTTCACTAGTGCCAATGATTTGACAACGGTAAAAATAAAGTTCTAAAACTTTTCTTTTGCTTTATCACATATTTTTCTTTTGCAGACAATTGAGAGCTTTGCAGCCCAAGAAAAGCAAATGGAAGTCTGTGAAGTTTGTGGAGCCTTTTTAATTGTAGGAGATGCACAGTCCAGGGTAGATGACCACTTGATGGGAAAGCAGCACATGGGTTATGCCAAAATAAAAGCTACTGTAGAAGATTTAAAAGTAAGCGTTTCCTTCAGTTACTGACCTTTACTTGGAGGCTTTCTATGGTAAATAAAAGGATGTCCTATGGATTGTCTCAAGTGGATGAAATACTCCAAAGGTGGTGTATAAATGTTAAATGGAGTACTACAATGCACATTTTGTATTGTGCTTGCACTGACAGTCTTTGTTGCATGTGATTACACTAGACATAAGCAAAGATGTAAATTCAGGTGGGAATTTTTTATGGCCTTTATAAAGAACTGTGGTGTGGCCTCTGTTCTTGAGAGAAGGACACGCAAAAAAAAGGTTCTCGGAAACAAAGAATTTCAGTTTGGGGAGATTTTAGAAAGTGCTTCTATGTAGGCTGCCCTTTGTTTAGAAAAACACTCTGAAACATTTTAAAAGCTCAAGCTTCTACATCCTCAGAATGTGTAAGCTAAGTTATATTGAATGATTTATCTTGAGTAATCTTCATTTCCTTCTGTGAACATTTTTAAGGAAAAACTACGAAAAAGAACAGAAGAACCTGACCGTGATGACAGGTTAAAAAAAGAGAAACAAGAACGAGAAGAGAGAGAGAAAGAGAGAGAACGGGAAAGAGAAGAGCGGGAAAGGAAGAGGCGACGTGAAGAAGAAGAAAAAGAAAAAGAGAGGGCTCGTGATAGAGAGAGACGTAAAAGGAGTCGTTCACGAAGTAGACACTCAAGCAGAACCTCTGACAGAAGATGCAGCCGTTCACGAGACCACAAAAGATCAAGAAGCAGAGAAAGAAGGCGAAGCAGGTATGTGTCTGTGTGTGGAAATTTTCATAAAACTTTCCAAAACAAAAATGTTGTGGGACTTGGATCTGTGAGCCTGGGTCACATCACTGATTTGTTAGCTTCACTGTTCTTACCTCTTAAGTGAAGACCTACTTTACTGGTGCAAAGGATAAGCAAGTTCTTGCTGCATATTCACTGTCTTCTCTCCAGTTTTGGAAGTGGATAACACCATTGTGGTAGAAGGGGTCTTAGAGCTTTGAGTAGAGAGATGCTCCCAAAGAACAGTGTCTTGTTTTTTCCTTGAGTTGGTCTTTAATTCATAGTAGTGGATATCCTTAAGCTGTGTGGTTGAATGTTTAAGTGAAGAAAGCAATATGAAGCCAGATTTTACACACTGAGAAATATTTATATACAGTATATTAAGGCTTATTTATTTGTTTTCTGCAAATAATCAGTGTATTAGAAGGTGCTACTCTTTTACTGTTTTATCTTCTGAGTTATAAAATACCAGCTGACATCTACATTTTTGAAATTTTCTCTGAATGTTAAGGAGTCGTGACCGAAGAAGAAGCAGAAGTCATGATAGATCAGAAAGGAAACATAGGTCTCGCAGTAGGGACAGGAGACGATCAAAAAGCCGGGATCGGAAATCCTACAAGCACAGAAGCAAAAGCAGAGAGAGAGAACAAGACAGGAAGTCAAAAGAAAAAGGTATGTTTGTGTGAAGGCTGAGTTCATATCAAGTTCTGAAACTAATCCTTCCCTAAAGTCTCAAAAGCTCTTAGTCTTTCAGTGAGTGACTGAAAGTTCTTCTTAGCATCAAATTACATCTGGTTTTATAAGCTGTATATGTTGCTGTTAACGAGTTTGAAGTATTGTGTTTGTTCCAGTTATTGGTAATGCACGTGAGTGCATATGTACACCCCACTGTCCACCTCTAACGTGTTACAGTAGTTATTAAAAGCTTACCACTTGTCTGCAAATTGTGTGAGGATTTTGATGTATTTTAAGACCCATTTGCCTTTAGAAAAATACAAGCCTGTAATCAGACTTCCTAAAAGTGAATATCTTCTATTCCTACTCTTAGCAGCTATTTCTGTAATTACCCTTTGCTGGTACATGTTTTGTGGGAGATTGATAGATGGTACAGGTGGAACTGTACTTCTTTACACTATCATTTCCTTTATTTTCCTTTAACAGTGCTTTTAAGGTTGGTGGGGTTTTTTCCCTAAACTAATCAAGATAGATCTTGAAGAATGTCTATAATGCTCTAAATTACAACTTCATGCCCTCTCCCAGTCTTCTGCTCTTCCCCCCCATCCTTCCCACTTGTTTTTTGTGGTTTTTTTTTTTTTTATTTAAATTAAGTGAGATTTGCTTTGCCAGTATTCAGGTGAATCTCAAATGAATGCTGTATTAATCCTTGGAATGCTTCTATAGCAGTACATGCCATGTGCAACAGCATTGATGGTGACTCACTGCTTCATCAAAGGCTGGTGTTCAGAAGCTTTACCTTTAAGTAGTATTAAAAAGAGCTACAGAGAGAACACTACAGATTCACATTCTGTGAAAAGATACTAACTCACTGTTATTGCTAAATTTCCCCCTTTAAAAGTCTTTGAAACTTGTGAAGGAATGTAATACTAACTTCTGGCTTAAACTACTGTTTCTGGGGTCCTGACTAATGTCCAGTCTGAAACAGCCACCCCAGTTCATTATTAGAGCTGACCATCAGTAATGGATGAAACAACTCTGTTATGTTTCTAAGGTACTTTTGAGGTTTTCTGGAATGAAAGGTGCTATGTGCATGTTTCTGGATTGCAGGGGCCTGTTTGCCCTACCTTTACTTTTCCATATTTATCTAGCTGATTCGTTCCCAAAATTTTGTAATGCTTCATGTATTTTTCTTGCCTGACTTCCTGGGACTGTTTTAATTTTTCTAGTTTATACTATGGTGCATCTTTAGTATTGATTCTTTCATTTTGCTTTGCCCTTTTAAAGCAAGTGGGTTTTAGCTGCTTTTGCTCATTGGCAATGGAACTGATGCATAGTGTTTCAACTCAGATTCAGCATTGTAGCCTATATCTGTCCATTTGTTACATTATTCTTACCTGATACTGTGCCTTTTTTGCCTACTTTATGAACAGATTTCTGGTACTTAGTCAAGAACATTCTATTCAGTAGTGTGTATCTATGAATATAAATAACTGTGTTCTTATTTATTCAAATTTGGTCTGTTTTTGAGCTTACTGGCTTTTCAGTTCTCTCCTTAATCCTTCCATAAATAGAGGAACTAGCGAACTTTCTTCAGCATCTCAATATTTTTAGTTCTAACTTGACTGATTTCCTTGCTGGTTGTTTTATTTGCTGCTTGCTACTTTCTTCCTCCAGAAATGAGAACAGTGAGGTGATGCTATGAGCTGTGATGAAAATTCCACCTGGGAAAACCAATTACTTTTTTTGACTGTGTGATCATATAATTTGTAGAAACATAAGTAGGCCTTAGATCAGACTATAATGCTGAAGAAGTTTCTGGTTTTTCCCTTTGTTGGGAAAATCTTTAATTAAAAAAAGGAAAAAAAACAAGCCAGTAGTATTTAACAAGCAAGCATTGGATTACTATGATGAAGCTGTAAACACCATTACATCCTTGTGTTTGCAGTGGGGCATTGTAGGTAGGCACGTAAGCAGATAGCTTTAGAGGTTCGTGTATCTGAAGCACGTGGCTGGCTACCTGCTCTGCTGTTTGCACAGAAAGAAGTAATGTAGAAGTTAAGTCTTAACTTAATACATTTACTGCTCCATTGGGAATATTGGCTTCAGATTCTAATTGTCTATATCCACCGTTGATCTGCAGTTATTAAAAGAAGGAGCAAAGGCCTGGCTTTAACTACTCATGGTGTAGTGCCTTTCATCTTGAAATCTCAAACGGCTTTATAAACATGAATCTTAACAGGAAAAAAAGTAAGGCATAGTTGGCCAAGGCTTGCCTACTGTTACACATTAAATTAGTGCCATACTTTGAAAATTCAGAAGTCCTGGCTCTTGTTCATTAAAATACTGTAGAATACAGCGACCTTTAAGATTGTAAGGAAAAAGTACATGTCAGAATGGAGTCACTTAATTTCTGACTCAAGTTTCATGAACAGGGAGACATTTGCTAAAGAAGGGAGCCACCCAGCCATAAACATCAGCTGAGCATTAGCTTAATATAAACCAGCAGAACACAACTAGTTTGAGTAAACCGACTTCAGAGTAGGTGAAATAAATAGGGTTTTTTTTAAGAACAGGAAAACATCTGTTCTGCAGGTACCTTCATTTTATCAATGGTTAACACTGGAACATGTCCCCAGACCACTTTAACTTGGCTCTTTACCTTCCCTAATCTGGATTCATATACTTATGTAAAAATAATTCTATTTGTGATTTGTGTTTTCATGTTAGTGATTAAACCTCAGCAAATACTGTCAGAACACCCAAACCCATAGTAACACTGGATATTATGTTTGACTGATTTTTGCATTCTCTGAACATTATCTTGGTAAGAATTCTCACAAAATACATTGTAGTTGCCCACATGAACTCAATCAGAAAAGTGTGCATGTGTTGAATCAGGAAGCAAAATCAGTATTATGGGATTATACCTAATAGATCACAACTGAAATAATATACACAGTTTCAACAGCAAACTAATTGTATGTGCTTTTAAAGAAAGAAAACTCTCACTGTTTGAAAATACAGTGGAGGAATTTAACTGCTTGCAGATAATCCAGGAGTTGAAAGGAGTTAGTTACTGGACTACTTGTTGAATACACTTTCTCAGTTCTGCTTGGCAAACTGGAGGTTTGCTATGGTAAACCTATTTTATTATTTAAGTTTTTAGAAGAGTTTCATCTTTCATACCACAGTTTAATGGTAGTTTTTTAACCTTAAACAAAATTATCCTTCCTGACCAAATTCAAGAAACAAACAAGACAGAACAAAACCCTGCACACTGCACATCCATAGGGCTATTAAGATCTACCATATCTACATAGGACAGAAGATAAGATTATTGGACTGACTACTAGTCCTCTTCGGGGAAACAAGACTACTATTCCTCAGTGGATCTACGTGTGCATCGGAGATACCTATAAGACACAAAAAGAAGACTTTTTAACAAGGTTAGTTAGAGTGCAATCTACCTGCGGAGTTGCAAAACTGAGGGCAGACAGATCTCCAAAATTATTAGTTCTTCAGTTAGCTTTTTGACATCGCTGCGTGCTTTCTCCAAGCACCGTGCACTGGATGTGCTGCTTCAGATGAAACCTCAGTAGTGTTCATTAGGCAGTTGCCCTTATTTCTGTGTGGGGGCTTTACCCCTCCCTGTGGTGGTCTGTTTTAAAACAAAGAAGTTGGGATGATGCTTCTCTTTTAAAGCTTAATTTCTACTTTGTCTTCTGGAATATAAAAGTGTGTTATGCCAGTCTAGGTGATAACATTATTTAAAATAGCTTTTTCAGAGTGTTTGATCTGTGTGCTCCTGTGTTGGGGATATATATATATTTATGTTATTTATTTTAATTGCCCGGATAGCAGGGAATAATCAGAAAAAAGAGCATGAATGTTGTTCTGTATGATGACATCCAAGAGGTTGGTTTTTCAGATTATTTTTTTTCTCTCCCAAAGTGTCTTTACTGATCAAAGGTTGAATATTATGGTGTGAAATAATAAAGAATTGATATTTTTATTAAATTTGCACATGCTGAATTTATGGATGAGGCACGCAGCTCTAATACTGAATGTTTTTCTTCCCATGGAAATATTTTTTTTTTTAACTTCTGGCTTCCTTCCTTCTTTGAAGATTATTGAGGAAAAGATGAGTTTTTCAGCAATGTAGCAAACTCTTCAGTCAGCTTTCCAATTTGTGATGAAATTGTGGGATCCTTCCCATCTTGCTGGTCCTTTGCCTTTGGAAACCAGTGCTTTTTATGTATCTTCCCAACTGTGTCCCCCGGCCTTTTTAATGAGTGGATTATAAATGACTGCCATTTTCATAAAAGTGAGAATGAATAATGCTGACAAGCATGCAGCTTCTGTGACATACTGCATAGTAAAGTTAATTTTGATTGTCACTGTGATTCCACTTTCAAAGCTAGTGGTTTGTTTCCCCAAGTATTTGATTGGGGTTGCTAGTTTGTTTAATTGGCACGTATTGATTTATTCGATAATGCACTGATGCATTGTCCCACTGCTCTTTTTGATTCTCTTTTCAAGAACCATATTTGATGAGATTTGTAAGCCCATGGCAGCCATACACATCATAAATTAAAATTTGGGGACAGAAAGCGTCCCATGATAAGTAAGGAAGCCATGCACCGTAATGACACATCTGCCTAACTTCTTGACTGCCTCTTTACCCCCCCAGTTTGTGTATTTTGACAGACAGCTGAGTAGCTGCCTCTGTTAGGAGGTCTGTCCTTTCTCCTCTTTTCCCCACCCTGGACTGTCCCCTTTGACCTTTTTTTGTACCCTCTCCATTCCAGCATGGTAGCCTGAAGCCTCTTTCTGTAACTTTTAGAGTATTACTGTTATTGCTGTAGAAAGTAACTGTCCCATTTTATATGCGATATATATCTCACATGTGCAATGTTTGTTTTTACTTTGAAATCCATGGTCAATGTCTTCTTTCATGGCAGAAAAGAGGGGATCTGATGATAAAAAAAGTAGTATGAAGTCCAGTAGTCGAGAAAAACAGAGTGAAGACACAAATACAGACTCGAAGGAGAGTGATACTAAGAATGAGGTCAATGGGACCAGTGAAGACATTAAATCTGAAGGTGACACTCAGTCCAATTAAAACTGATCTGATATGACCTCAGATCAGACAGAGGTAAGTGCATTATTTCAAACTTTGATTAGGGCTTTTTGTTACTGTTTAACAGTGCAGCGTAAGTATGCACAGATGAAGATGGAACTAAGCCAAGTAAGAAGACATACTAAAGCACCTTCTGAAGGAAAAGACAGTGTAGTCCTGCAAAACATTTTGAGGTACATTGTTTTGTCTCAGCTATTTTGTAGCAGACTCGTGCCCCCATTAGTGTGCCTCTTTGGGACATATTTGTAATATAGTCACCATAGAAAAATTAATTATCCTTTTTTTATTTTAGGGATTTTGTTATCGTTTTTTAAAAAAGTTGAACTGTTTTTGTATTTAAGTCCATATTGTGTTGGTACTTCAGCAGAAACTTTTGCTTTAATACTTAATATTTGAGGCACATGTTGGACTACTTTGTTTTCATATGAACTGCTAGTATTTCTTTGTCAAGGATGTTTCTAGTTTTTTTGCTTTATTGCCTTGCATTCTAATGCAGTTTGTTCTGTAACTCGAGAGCCAGTAGCATTGGATTGATGGAAGTGTAGGGTTTATGAATTATTGCAGCTGACTACCATACCTCACACAGCGTTGGTGTTGTGAGCGGCCCATGAAAAGCCAAATTAAAAATCAAGGATTCAGTCAAACTAAGCAGGTACTCATGCCAGGTACTCCTTTCTCTACCCACATCCATGTTTGAATGCTGTTGCCTGTAATCTTTAAGCTTACTGTTGTGTTTTTGATTTTCAAGATAGTGAAAAGGACTTTTTGTGTATTGTGTGAATACTGTAAATCTGATGTTAACAGAATGGAATTTTCTTTCAACTGTATGTAGGGATGCAGTGCTGCCCAGAATTAGATATCTTTAAAGAGTTTAAAATGCAATAAACACTACATAATAATCGCCTTGTTACTTTCAATGCAATTCAAGTCTTTAAGAGGTATGTGTTTAATATTTCCTACTGTGTAGGAGAATTTGCAGTCAGCCATAGTACAGAGAAGTGGAATGGCTGATAACAGACTTCTAAGGCAAATGTAAATACAAAGACAGATGCCACCAAACGATTACAATGTTCATGGCAAGAATGTATGCTGAAAAACTGTTGCTGGAAATGAAACAGCTAAACAATAGGAAATACAAATGCTGTATTAAAAGGAAAACTTGAAGTTTTTTCCCCACTCTTGACATAGCTTTCTTACTCTTACAGAAGGTCTTTAGTTGTATTCCTGAAATAAGGAACTAACAGTGGAGAGTACAGCTGATAAATGAGCTTCTTGCAACATAATTTGTTACTGTAATTTCATTATTTATGCTAGGAACTCTTAAACACTTTATGTTGATTTATTAAACCATTAATGCTACATTATTGCTTCTAAAGCCAGTCACGTTCAATGTTGACATTTTTGTAGAGTTAAGATGACAGCTAACAACTGGGCCAATATATAGGAATGGTAAACTGAATGCTCTTAATGCTGTCTAATTGTCTGTTTTCCCAAAATTTTGCATTATAGGACTACTACATGAAGAGTCTGCGAAGACAGCGGAAGACAGCTTAAACTGAAGATCTGCTTTAAAATGAGGTGAAAGAAAGCTGTAGTGGCGTAGAAAAATATAAAGTTGAGTTAGAAATTTTTTTTTTATAAAATTTAATTCAGGACTGGTGTTTCCTCCCAGAGTTCAGAAAGATGTGTTGATAATAGCACATATGCTACTGAGAATATAAGTCCTGTATCCTTTTTTTTCTTTAAGACTTTTTAAGATAAGAAAACAACATAACCTGAACACATGGCTTGCTCAGTGTTTAATTGCAAGTTTTCATTCTTGGACTTTAAAACACAAGAATAAATGTTTAGTATTTGTGTGAATCAAACTAAAATGAATCCCATTTTTACAACTTAAGCTATTCCTAGCTTCTTGATATACAAGAAATGGAAATAAAGTATCTTTGAATTTCTGTTACAAATTCGATTGTCTCTGTCATTGAACGTTTAATATTAAATAAGCTTCTTTCCTAATAAATCTACTCATGTCTTCAAGCTTAGTCCATTAATTTGGATGCTTAGTTATTCTGTGGTGTTTGTGGGTTTGGGGTGTTTTTGTGCCATCAGTTAGTATTTCATTTCAAGCTTGCTTTTTCTGCAGTTAGATGGCTTCTGGATACTCTGTCCCCTAAAAAAAGTGCAGCTTGTGCTGCACTTGGTTAAGAAATTACAGAAATTTCACAATAAAAATTGTAGGCCTTAAGCCTTTATAAGGCACTAAGATTCTTCAGCATTATCAGAAAAATGCCCTGGCTGAGATTGGCCATCAGACTGCCTTATATTTGCATGGTAGTATCTGTTTGGAATATTAATGAACAATGCTCTGCAGTTGGTAAGCATCACAGCTCCACATTAAGACAGGTCCTTGCAAAGCTGTAGGTCAGGAAAGCAGAGTTTGTGTTGGGGAAGAACTGCACCAGGTCAGCAGCAGCAACGTTACTTGAGTGTCTGTAAGACACTGAATTTGTGCTTTTTTTTTTTTTTTTTTAAAAAAGCGCATTATCCTTTGTATTCAGAACTTGACTATGCGTGTAGCTGACTATAATACTGTAACTTGCTTGTTCTACTGTTGGTGAGTCTCGCCTGTTTGTGGAAGTGCACTCATAAAAGGATCTACACTTGGGTCCCTCTGCACCAGAGGGACACCACGTGCAGCCAGCCACGTGTCCTTTCTGACATCCATACAGGGGCACAGGGGCTTGAGACTGGGCGGTGGCGGGGAGGGAACTCAATAAGAAAAATAAATACAAGTGGGAGCAAGCAAAATTATAATTCAGTTCTAATTATGGACTGTGCGTGAACTCCCATTCCTTTTGAAACCTGTGCAAGAGACATCGTTCAGCTGCTGCCTGGATGTGTTACTTCTTGCAGTGGCTAAAATGATTGTCTTTGCACATTGTTACAGCACTAAGGGTTTCCCTTCTTTTGCAGAGGTATAAACTAGAAAATGAGGTACCTTGTAGCAACTTGGACTGGGATCCAGACATGTCTGACTGGAGTCTTTCTCTAGTGCATTAAAGCCGAAGGAAAAACTTTATCTTTGGGAGCATAGGAGGCATGGTGCCTTTCTAGTAATTACCTTCAGATTTTACTGTAACGAGCATTTCCACAAGAGATTAATCTGTGGGAAAAGCATCATCTTCAGAGTTTGAGCCCAAGATAAATATAATCTCAGATTTTCTAGGAGTGCTAAGCAAAAAGCAAGTATCTTATTTAAGTAAGCACCTCCTACATGCTTTCTTCATACTGGTTTTGACAGCCTGGCAGTCTTTTATGAGGTGTTAAAAATGTACTGGCCCAAGATTTTCCAAAGTTATGTTGAAATTTTAAGAGCCTCCTGTCCCCTCTAGAGGCCATGTATCATCCCCCACACCCCCCCTGAAAAAAGGAGATCTAGGTACTTGAAACAGCTGAGACTTTAATATAAGTGAAGAGTAGCAATGTCAATTCCATACAAGTTTGTAGTGCAAACAAAAGTTGTCCTTGGAAGAACAGTAAGTTTTGTAAACTTAGTTTCAGTTGTCATACAACAATTTGTTGTTCAAAGAAAAAAAACAACAAAAAAATTAACTAGTGTGCCTTAGAGTTTATCAAACTGCAAAAAACATACAAAAATATTTCTCTGAATGCATAGACTTACTGTTAATATTACAGTCAGATCATGATTAACGTTTTAGTCTTGTCACATTAACAGTTATTCTTGGTGGAAACTAGAGCAAATAAAGCTTTTTTTATAAACCAGCTGCTCCTGTAGCTGAATGTTCAGTAATTAGTGGAGGCAGTCTTTATACAATTCCCTAAAAGAACTGAAAAGAAATTAGACACTTAATTTTGAGCCATTTAACTACTACTGGTTTTGAAACAGTTATTGCACATAATCTGTACTAGCCTCCAAGCTGTGCTGGCAAGATAAATACACAATTGTTAAAATAAAAACTTCCCTGTCCTACAAGAAAAAAAAGCAGGAGCCATAGTTAGGAAATTTTACTTCATACTGTGTCACAGTCTTGAGCGTACCAGGAGTTGAATGGGGCTTTGAAGTAGCCCAGCTCCCGCATAGAGAAGAGGGAGTCAGCAGAGTTTAAGTGAAAGAAGTGGGAAAGGGTGATAATTATTTTGAATGCACTAAGCAGGCGTTTTAAGCCTAAGTAGCTTGGTGAAGTCCTGAACCCGGAGTCGAGCTCTCTGCTGGCAGAAGGGTTTGTATTCTGACAGGTTCTGACCAGCCTCGCTCAGAGGAGCCACTCAAGGCTGAAGCAGCTGAGGGCAGGGCAGCCACGCTGCGCCTACCAAAACCTGCTGATTGTACTATTTATGGTCTGAATGTCAACATTACAGTCCGGATCAACAGCAACAAACACTGCATCAGCTGTGCATAAACTCTGCTCTAGTGCTGCTTAATGCAGAGATGGAAGGAAAATCAGTGCTATTGGGGGAAGAATAAAAAAAGCAGCTCGTGTTCAGATGAAACAACTCCCTCACCACTTCATCCACCCCAGTATCCAGTTAAGGTTTTTAGTGCATAAGTCATCGTAGTTTTTGATACAAAAACCAAAAAGCCTCTTAAGGTGGAACTTTGCAGTCTACCATGTTAACAGGAAAAGCCTCGAGCAATGCTGCTACTTAAATACTTTGTTTGGAGTGAAAGGGAGTGACTTCAGGGTGTGTTTTAATGATGACTTGCCATTCATAAAACCACAGATGGATTTTTTTTTTTTATTATTACTGGCTTGCTTAAAAACAAGTCAAGTAGCCTGTAGCTTAACCAGAGTCTGGGTTTTTTTACCCTCTAAAAAAATTAAACTGAAAGCACCTGGAGGCATTCAGCCCTTTCAGTCCTCATCTGGCTAAAACTGCGGATGCAAAGTGACAGCAGACTGCACGTGTTCCAGGTTACAGGTCAGTTATTTGCTAATGGTGTACGTTCCAGTGCAGCATGGCCAGTCAAGAGCATGGTACACTCCTGACAGTTGTGGGAACGGCAGACAGGAACCGCACAGCCTGGGACTGTACACACTGTGTACTGACGTCTGGTGTGCCTAACGCAGTCTCCTCCCAGCGGTGGGAAAATGACCAAAACCACGGATGCAGATTTTTGATCCCCTCCCTAGCTCCTGAAACAGAAGGGCTTTCTGAAAGGGCACTTCTAACTTGCTCTGTGACTTAAATGCTCCTTAATTAAGAGAAGCTTCTGTACTTTTTGTGGAGGTGGAAGGATGCCATCGCTTAAGTTACGGTATTCTCAGATGGGAAAGGAATGTTTAAATGTGGACACTCAATTTCAGCCCAGTGAAAATTCTCCTGTCACTTCAGAGCATAAAGTATTTCTATCACCAGCAGGCAAAACAACACATCTTGGTACGTCTTCGAGAAGGGGCTTGCAAGTTTTACATTTTTAGAGAGCAACTGTTCATTGCATGCCAAATACGCTCTGACGTTTAACTTAATCAGGAAGTTTAAAAAATATATATATATGTACACAGACACACACACACACAATTTCCTGAATCTCTTTTCCATGAGTCTTATTTGGTCAAAGAGTGGGAGTACTCAACATACATTTCATATCAATAATTTAAGTCTTTCCTGCCCTCTGTTGCAAAATACCACCAATAAACTTCACTGAAATACACTGGAAGCATGTGATTTTAGTAGATAAATGAGGTATCCCTTATCTGAATACAGTATCAAGTAAAAAAATAAAAGCGAAGGGGATATTAAATATAAAAGATAAACTATTAGTTAAAATAGTAACCCTAACAATAACTTAAGGTTTTACACACGCTTAATTCACTGCCCTCAGAAGGCAGCAGCATATAATTACCATCTTTTCACACTCCAGATGTGTCCAGAAGAGTCAGTAGGTCAGCTTCGATGCTCTGCTGTTGTAGCATGGTCTCTCGGTCAAAGTTGACGCAGCGTTTCTGAAAGGAGAGCTGTCGCTTTTCACAAGAACTAACTCGAGCTCTTGGAAGTCCTGAAGTCTGGCAACATCCTTGTCCTTTTAAAGAACAGACAGAACTACGCATTAATTCTAAACCTATCTGGTTATTATTATTTATAATAATGGCTAAAGGAAGTAAAAACTAAAATCCCAGGGAGGTCACACCCAAGGGTAAGAATAAAAGTGCTACCAGTACACGCTTTCTTTCAAAGTGTGTTTGGTTTTTTTTTCCTCTTAACCGTACATTTTTTTTCTCCTTGACCTGCATTATGATTTCACTGTATCTATGCATGTCACTTGATGAAGAGTTGTGACCAAATGCATTTCATTTACAGACCTCCAGAATAAGTATTTTTGGAACAGAAGAGCATGTTCATTTGATAATGGCGTATCTTTAAATTATTCACATCCCATTTTGTGGGTTTTCTCCCCTTACTATTTGTTCTTTTTAGACAAGCAAACAGTGAAGTAGTACATGGCAATTATGTTAAAAGCACACTAATGCGCTGTTTCAAATACATTTTAAAAAAAGTCAAGCTGTAATAGTTTCATGCACTTAGGAGGTGAAACTGCCTATTTTGACAAGAATATTTTAAAGTGATGAAGTTTAAGAAAAGTCTAAAATCCTTTTGAATTTGTGAGCGTAAGTCAGGGGTTTTTTTTAAACACAAGGCCATGTTTTGCCAATCTTTTTACAAAAATACCTTCTCTGATGTGTGCAAAGTCAAATTAATCTCTGGTTTCAATTCTTACCTTTCTTACTAGTGTATTAGGTAATTTTCTGATCTTCTCTACTTGTTCTGGATTAATGCCCAATTCACAGCAACTCACTCTGAGCAGATCTTGATAGGTCAGTTCTTGCCTGTCCAGTTCAATTTCAATGAAGTCATTGTCTCTGAGGTTCTGGACTCTCACCTTAAGCACAAGTTCTGATTGAAAAACAAGATTAAAAGGGGTTTTTCCCTAAAAAAACCCAACCAAACAAAAAACCCCCACCCATACCTAACACTACAGTATTTATCATTCTCTTCTGAACTCAGGTTTTATGATACAATAACTGTATCTCACTGAGAAACACCATGCAGTTAATAAAAGCTTCCATTTGAACAGCAAGACATAGACAGGGGAACCACATGCACAGTGTTAAAAATCTGATCTGTCTGGTCACAAGTCGTTACCAACCTACCAGAGATACATTTGATGCTGTAGAATATAGTGGAAGACCTGAATTTTTATGTTGCTTGGACTGATCTTTCCATTGGTCTGCAAAGTATTACCATGTCTGACATACAGTTTAACAGTTATTTTACCTAGCAGAACAGAAAAATAAAATGTTCTGGGTAGTTCTGGCCAAAGAATTCAACATCTCTGCCTCTACTCAACACAAGTCTGAAAGGGGAACAATTCTTTAACTCCCTCTTTCACCTTGTAACAGAGACATGGAACCGAATATAAGATGGGAAATTACACTTCATTACCTTGCATGTTACATGGGAAAGTTCCAGTAAAGAAAAACGGTTGAAAGGTTGGTGCGGGACCAGTGGGCGACCTGTCGAGCTGCAGAGGTTCAGCCTGTCGGGCTGCTCCAGGCGGGACCAGAGCTCTGTGGTGGGGTGAGGCCGGCCGGGGACCGGGGCCGTTGTGCACCCCAGGCTGGGCGCAGCGCGGGGCCGTGGCAGCTGCTGGTGGGGCGGGCAGCTCTTCCTCAGCCTCTAGTGTGGGAAAGTCATCGTCGCTGTTGCATGATGTAGGTGTGCATATGCTTTCAACCTGAGTTGCGGATGAGCAAGGACTAGTTTCACACTGGGAAGCAGAAGAGATGGAAGCACTTTCATTCTGGGATTCTGCCAAGCTGTCTGGAATGCTTTCTTCCGTGTAAACATAAGGGAGTGGTGGGCTGGCCAAGTAGTTTGCAACAATTGGCAAATTTAAATCCTTCACTCCTTGGTATTCAGATTCTTCCTCTGTTAATGAAGTTTAAAATGAGGGGTGGGGGATGGAGAGAGAAAAAAAACACCATGTTATTGGATAGCTCTTTATCATTTCGAATCTAGTTAGTTTTCCTGTTGTGTCTTAAAACTACATCACGCTCACCAATGTATCATATGTATGTAACACCTGGAAGGCAAGTAGCTCAAAATGAAAGAAAAATCTACAAATTTCTACAATGTATTGTGCTTTTTAAAAGCAAAGTAGGAAAAAAAATACCTGTTGAAAGATACTTCATTTCTAGCAGTGTTATTCAGCATTTTCAAAGGAACTGTATGACCAGTATTCACTAAGTCTCGTTTTACAATGCTTTTAATAACACTGCTGTAAATAGTTTATTATAACCCATGCTAACAAGTTAAACCAAGTATTTCTTCAGGTAAGTGACTATTTGATATAATACCCAAGCCACCTCTTCTCTTGCTTAAAAGTACTGCAGTAAATTACATTCTTGCCTGACTGAGCATTATAGGACATAAATATTAATGTCAAAGCAGTTCCGAAAGATCTGCTCAACAGCACTACACTCCCAGAATAAAAACCATTTGGGAGAATATAAGTGATATGTGTTTGTTCCCCAGGAAACACATGAAAGCTTAACAGACAAAATAAGGCAACTGTGAACAGAGTTCATTCACACACCCTTGACAGTTTAGATGTTAAAAACAGAACGCAAGTCATTTGTCATGAACTAAGTGCAAGAGATGAACACCTTGCCCAACAGAAAATAAAATGCTCATGCAAAGAACGTGCCATTCCTTCAGTTGTGACAGCTGTAACCTTAGTCATGACTTAGCTGCAACTTCATTTAAGATAACTGCACTGTTGATGTAAGAGCATATCATTGTAGAGAGCAATTTAAGTGCAATTAGCAAAAGACAGAACATCAACATTTCCAAAGGTGAAGCACTTAAAACTTTTAAGCTGGAGCACAGTACCTAGATGCTGATGGAAACAGGACCATCACATACATCTAACTAGGTTTGCTGTTCATATGAAAAGTGTAAGATGACAGAAGCACGGGGCAAAAATTAACCATACTGTAAGTCACAGTATAACAAAATCCTCAGGAGCTGTAACTTCTGAAACGCTGCAGTTGTTCTGAGTGGATTTGTAAGATTTCTTATGGTCAGACAACAGTCAAACTGTACTGCTGTGAAAGCCTCTATTTGCAGCCTGCATGCTAGCTTCTGCTTAATGAGAGCAAACAGGACTGCAGTAGCACATTACCCAAAGTATACAGCTTTTCAATCTCTTGATGACACAGCTCAGAATAAAAGGCCTTCCTACTTGAAATCCCCATGTCTATTTGCCTGAGTATGCATTACAGTTACAAATCAGAGCTATCTAATGAGATACGATGGTCCCAGGCCAAGTTTTGCCAATCTACTGCCTCAGATAAAAGCACTAAAAATGCTTTAGTTTTTAGACCAAGAATTCTAGACGACTCTTCAGATGGGAACAGTACCTCCCAAAATCTTCTGGATGTCTGGTTTCGAAGTTAACTGTGCAGCCAGCTCTCCTTTAGTGGTGAGGATCTGCTTATCTGCACCAGCATCCAGCAGGCAGGACACCACGGGAGCGTGGTTCCGCTTGCAGGCCCAGTGCAGACAGGTCCTGCGGGAGGAAGCAGAGGGGTTGTGCTCGCAGCCTCAGACCCAGCGCCCCGGCTCCTCCTCACGGGCCCCTCCTAATTCACTTGGGTTGCACCTAGAGCGACAACAACTGGGAATAAAGTTTCCTTCGCTGCATCACTTTATAAAGTTATGAATCTAGTGTAAGTTCTGTGGGGCAAGGCCCCCCTTTGCCTTGCTGCAGCGCAAGACTGAGTCCCCGCTGGTGTCCCACTGGTGTCCATGCTGGGGGACACGAGCAGCTCCGCGAGAGGTCCTCGAGCAAACTCGAAGTGACCGGTGGAAGGAGGGTGGCCTCTTTACTATGATCCTCTTTAGCAGTAAATCTCAAAGCCTCCCGAGATTAACATTTCCTTTTTTGTAAAGAGGAGAACTAAGATGAGCCGCGTCCTCAAAGCGTCTCTCCCCTGCCCCTGAGGAGGGGTGCCCAGCCTCAGGGGGGGAGCCCCGAGCCCAGCACACGTCTGGCCAAACGCCCCGCGCAGCCAAGGGCAGGGCCAGCCTCCGCGCAGCCACCCCCAGCTCCGCC